AGGCAGTTGCCACTTCCAGAGAGAAGGATTGATAAGATTACCCTTGTTGTGTTAGATTGGTGTGGTGACACCGCAAGTCCTTCACAAGTTATTCGAGCCAGCCTGTAAAGTGCTCCCGGATTACGACCCAGCTTTAGGGGCACCAGTGTTGCAAGCGGAAATCAGAGGCGATGGGAGGTGGTGCTCATTCGAGGATTGATGGTGGATGGCTGTGGTGGTCTCAGATTCGCCTTTGTGGAGTTCCAAAACGATCGACTAGCAACAGCCGCCTTGAGCATTTTCAACGGGGTAAGCATGGGGGCGGGTGAGCTGGAGGAGATTCTTTGTTGTTTTCCTCGCTTAGATGGAAGTACTCGGGCGGCGCTTGATCGTGAGCCGACCCCAAGGCTTTGTGGAGGGCAGCTCACCCGCTGGTTTGCCAGCTCCGATTGGCCAGCGACAACAATGGAATGCCATGCCTCAACAAGCCATCGGTGGTTGGGGAATGACCACGTCGGGCCAGGGTTGGGGTGGGGCTCAGTCGATGCAACAACACCAGTCCTGGGGCCCTGGAGGTTACTCGGATAACGCCAACACTATGCCGCTACAGAACCCACGGAATTTCGGAGAGCAGAGTGATGGCCAATACGCGGCAGCCCGAGCTGGGGCGGAGGCGGCTCAGGCGGGTGGTAGCCAGCAACAAGGAGGGTGGTCATGGTGACCTCGACAACGACGTTGAGAAGGAATTCGGGTTGCGGCCGCCACAGTAGCATCGACACCGACAACACCATTATCTTTCAAGAGATAAGAACAATGTTTGGTTATCTAGGGGGTGGGAGGGTCAGGAGATTTCCTTCAGATTGATATCATTGTGGTGGGTTTGGTTCAACGCAATGAATAACTCGGCTGCACATGCGTGCTGGTTCATTTTTTGACTTCGGTCTCCGCCGAGCCAGATGGTGGTACAACAGAGACCACCTCGACGGAGGCCCCAAGAGAACTTCGCGGAAGAGGAATCGTTCTCGGCATAGGAATGGAGAAAACGGCTCACTGTTACACCCACTACCGCCACCTCCTCCGGCCAGTGGTCAACCACCACCGCCTCCTCCGTCCCACTCAGATCCTGGGCCAGGATTCCTGGCGAATGTAGAAGAAGAAGTGCTGGAAGTTCCAGCCTGGAACTATCGTCCTTGCTTACAGAAGCCTAGCTAGCTGGAGACAAGTGAGTCCGCTCTTTTCTAGTGAGGTAGACCTCATGTGAGGCTTAGTAGGCATGCTACCCACTGCCAAAATGGCAGTGTTGCTGCATAGTACAGTTCCACGAACAAGTTTATATTCCAACACACTCAGCTTGGACAACTCTACAAGTAAACTGCCCTCGTGCCTCCGTGGCGATGGATTTCATGGCAGTTACATTCCGGTGCTGTACCGTTGGGGGATCCCTATGTTCCTCACTGAACGTCAAGATGAGAATTTCAACCTCGTACTGGACATCGATGTGAAAATGGGAGCCGACCACAAATGGGAGCACTGCGTTAGAGCTGAGCAGTGTATCGTCGACAAGGATGATGGCACTTCGAGTTCATACTCAGAACCTGTCTCCGGTAAGTTCCGGTTGCATCGTGATTCCGGGATTCCATATGTGTGCAGGTTGTGCCAAGCAAGCCCCATATAGATACCGTGTTGTTCTCGGTCAGTGGCTATAGCCGGGATAGTGGCTCTTCTAAGGTTCCGCTGCACCTCGTGTTCCCGGGGATCATAGTTGACTGGGAAAACTGCCCAGAATACGTAAGTCGGTTTGGATGTTGCGAGAACTCCTCTACAATTTCTTCTGTGTATCGAGACTTCCGGTTGGAGGCACTACCCGATCGACAGGTACACATGTGGTCCAGCTGCTATGGTCTGCATCTTTGGAAGACAGCCCTCCTTATGGGCCGTTCGTCGCCGCCTTATCCGGTGATCATAATATTCCGCAGATCTCCTTCGTCATTACACCCGAGATGGCGCGGATACCTCAAAGCCGTGGAGCAATACAACCAGCTGGCTCCAGGTATGAGAGGACTAGCTCTTAAGGCTGTTGAAGGTTGGGCTCAACACGTCATACAGTCCAACAAAGAGATCGTGGTGGGATGCTCTCAGATAATTGTAATCGTGGCAGTTGCATGAAATTCGCCACTGAGGTGCAACTGAAACAGGAGCTGCGGCACAGCACGGTATCACAAGTCAAAGAGAGCTGCCGCCTGGCGATGGAAAGGATGATTCGGCAAGGCGTGCCGAATGCTTAGCGCTACAGTGTAGCGGCTACACGGCTATGGTTTCCCTCTGGGATTGCAATGGTCAGCGAAGCGCTGCATTGAGCGAGCCTCAGCAGCTGTGTAGGTATAGATGTGAGCAGGGAAATGGTAGGCAGGGACTTCAAGGAGTCTCCTATAGGGACCGCCGGTCCCGGACCGGTGAGCTTCTCCCGGGGGTTTGGCAAGAGCGTCCATTGTGGTGTGCAGATGCTCGATTCCGGGCCAGTACGCCGAGATGTACATCAACATGTGCGAACTAGCTGTGCTTGTTGGGAAGGCCAGTGCTGTACATCCCTTTGCGGCTAAGGTGTCGCAGAATCTGCGACGCAGATACTATCAGGTCAGTCACTTATACCATACACTTGGGGTGGGGATAGTATTCATCATGACAACATCGGCAACATTGAAACTATTTATCGACCGTAGGTGCTTAGTACAGTGCATGTCAGCTGGATGTAGGAGATAACGCAATAATTTCAGTCCGGGTAAGGTGTACTTACCGCATTGAAGCAACGCTGACAGTTCAGGTTTATAGCATTTTAAAAGTGCTTCCCGTCGGGAAGGTCACGAGACGGAAACCGATGATCGTGAGATACACGAGAAATCCACTTTCATGCAAAGTTCAAGTTAACTGAGTTAATCTAATAATATTTGAATAGCTAGTTGTCATGCTGATCGGGTTCTTGACGTGACAGACGTGATTGTTATTTGTCGCAATGTTGAATCCAGCGTGCAAGTGGAATAGCAAACCTATTAGGATATCTCAGCATCGACAAGGGTGTGTTCTGAAGGGATGGTTGGTAGCAGTTGCCAGCTACAAGACTCTTGTAATAAGAGCTTCCTTGTACGTAGGAGTATTTTTACAAATGACTCCCCCCGGTTCTGCTACCGAGAGAAGAACTGACGGTCTTACCGAGAAGGAGATCGAAGATCGGTTGCGCCCAATCAAGTCTATCAGGAACTACAGAAGGGGTGATAGTGGTACCGAAGTACAACGGCTCGACTCTTTATTCCTATGCTGCCTCATGGCTCCTGTCAACATTATGCATGCCATTGCAATCGTTGACTTCAAGAGAGAGGTTCAGCAGAGATATGAGCCGCCCATGACTGACCGTATCAATGATACCCGATATCCACGATGCCCAGATGCACGGATGGATCTCAAATCGGCAACTATGAGGGAGTGTACACTCCTCCCTGAGATTGTCAGGCATGAGCGCGTGGTACCTACTGCCGATGGCGGTGAAAAGCTCGATTGTCCTACTCCTGCGCTGACGGTATTCACGGAGTTCGTGGTCCGGATGCTGGGGAAGTCTCTAGCTGAGCTTGGGCTCATTGTGCGACTCCGTTTGAAGGCGTTATTGGATCATGCAGATTATGACAACAATGCGCCTGTAGAGAGGTGGGAATTCATCGGTGTCCTCAAGGACTGGATACAAGGATTTCCTAACCTACACGATCAAAAAGTGCCTGATGATTCCACAATTCTGAAGTATTTCCCCTACAGGGAATGGGCGGATTTGAGAACAAAACGACCCGCCGTTCAGGAAATGGGTGGGACTTATCAGTTTCAGCATGAGATGGTGGCATATGACTTTGGGCGGCTGCAATACATTCCGGACTATTTGCTAAGCCACATTATCGTTCAAGGTCGGAGTAAGGCATTAACGTATCATGCGATTCAAAACAAAGTTTGGACGAGGATATTCGAATTAGTTTTTGAGCCGGGTAACCGAGAGATTACGGCTTGTTATGACGCGTGGAGGGAGCGTGCATCATCTGAAGATGTATCAGATGCACGGTCAGGGTGCAACACTATATTCGAGCCGTTATTTTCTCTTGATCCGGGTGCCTACCAAGCCTACTGTGAGCGTGGCAGAGATAACCCGGGGAATGTGATGGAGTCGTTGACGGGCTTCGTTTTGTGGGACTTGAATGACGCAACGACGGTTTGGATTCTCCTTCTGATGGCTATCAAGTGCTCTTGCAAAGAACTGAATACTACGCTTCCCAAAGTTATCCAGAGCATTGTGGCCATGGGGAAGGCAGCATCATCAGCGTCGATGGGCTCTGAAGTGGCGTATTCCTTACGAGAGCCATCTTCAGGTCGTGATATGTATTGGAGAGGTCTTGTGGAAAACTTGGCATTTCTTGGTTGGTAGGGGGCACTACGTTCGGAGTATTCTCCATGGCTCAAACTGATGATGCGGAGTCTACCTATGAAAAACGAGG